CTTTTCCTCTGATACTACTACTACACCGTTTAAAGTATCCACTATTATTCTGCAAAATTTTATAGCCTGAGTCGAGTTCTAACACCCTTTCTCTTGGGCTCAAACCCAGCCACATCCTGCTAAATCTCTCTCTATTACCTTTTCTCTTATCTCTAATAATACTTCTCTTGTAGGGTAGGCCACCCACACATCATCCAGGTGGTTGCCACAATATATTTCCTGGGCATGCCACTTGCCAATTAAAGCTCTTATTAACTTCAAAAACACCCAGGGGGTCTAACTTAGGCCAAAAAGCAAAACCCTGTATTGTAACCATATCTTCACCACAATGAAGCCCAGCAGCCTCTATGCCTTGGTGTTCATAAGCACATGATGATATCTGTCTATTAAATCAAATGATATTGCCTACCAACCCCTTCTGATCATATGCAAAAGACCATCTAAACCCTCAAAACGGAATGACTTCTGGGGTAGGGCCCGATTCAACCTTTATAAATCGATCACAAGATGAAACCTTCGAGGGCCTTGTTTCAGAATCAAGAATACTGGGCTTATATCAAGGAGACTTGCTGGTCAAGAATTTCTCTTGCAAATTTTTACTACTGCCACGACGCTTTTAACCTTTCTAACTCCTTTTTTAACCAACACTCCTCCTCCCTATAAAATGATAGGGCCTTGGGTCTGAGCTGGTCGCCAAACATACTAAATTCCTTGTAAACAGGAGGACCCCTTCCTTTAACCATTTCAATATCACCTGAGAAGGTCAAATCACGTTCTCCTAATAATTTACCACTGCACGACTATAAATCCTCTCAGCTACCCGTTTCTCCAATACCACCACCGCTTCTCTCAACAACCCCCAGGCGTAGTCAACTGTTTTCTGACTGGGTTCTATTACCTCAAAAGGGCAACCCAGATATTTTCTAGAACTACACTCACTAGCGAAATGACCTTTTCCTTCGCACAAGTAACAAACAATATCTTTTCCCTTGGGCTCCTTATTTTTATCATCCTTTTTAGACCAGATGAGTGAAAAGAATACGATTATTGCCATATTGGAGATGATACACCAACATTCGGGCCAAAGTGTTGCAGTTGTTGTATACCACCTTGTAGCAACTGGGGGCCAGCCTGGTCTAACTAAGACGAAAAGGATATGAGACCTCCAAACTAACCTTGCAGAACCATCAGTTGGTTCAAAACTTGTTGACCAAACCCCACTTGCTGCACGTAAGGCTGCACCGATGCAAATTGTATCATAGAAATACTGCTTATATAGAAGACGAGGCCTGCACCTAGAGCTGCTCTGACCGAGGCTAATATGATGATCTCACCTTTTTGGACTTTGTAAAAAGCTGTGCCACTAATCTAGTCCTCTCACATTTTCCTCCCAACAGCTTCGATATTGGAAGTATCTGCTAAAACTATTTTAGACGCAATAGCCCAACCATCCTCATCGGCCACTCTCACAACCACTGGTCAAAATTTTTTAATATAAAAGGCCGATATTTGGAAGATAGCTAGGTGAAACATCTAAAAACAAACATTCG